TTGGACAGATTTAAGTGAGTAATTCCTAAGAATTACAGGCCTACAATATAAAACAACAAATTTCCATGCAAAACAATGTACCGCAATGTACAAAATTACTGACATAATCAGACTGCCAGGGAAGTTAATTAGTCCTAAGTGACATCACCTCTACAGGGGTCACATGATCCACTTCTCAGGGAGCCAGTGAAAGCAACAAGGCAGGCTCCCCAGCCCGGGCATAAATAAATCTGCCACGGGAGCCAGGCCACACGACATCATTACAGAGGAAGTGTGGGTGAACCTGTGACCCCGGAAGTCGGCATTTAAGCAAAAAAACTCACATGCCCAAGTAAAACGTGGCGCACAGACAAATATGATAAAATACTAGACATCAGTTAAAAAAAGTATGGACAGAAGGCAAAACAAAGTGTGGTGAAAACGATGCCAGAGATGTGAAACTAAACAGTACCATATATTTCCTTTGCTCACAAATATAAATCATACCTAAACTATTGAGAAAACACACACACACTGAGGTTACTGCTGGGGAGAGGGCAGGAGATGGAGATAAGATACAAAGGTCCATGGGGATATGTGTTTGTTTATGATGTTTTACTTTTTTTTAAAAGAATAAAGTGTTGTAGATTGCTTGTATCATTTCTTAAAGTGTACGTCTAGAAAACAGTGGCCCAGAATTCTAAGCCCAGAGAGAATATCTTTCAAAAATGAAAGAGAATACTTTCGCAGACAAACAAACCCAGAACGTACAAGAAAAGTTAAAGGCATATGATACCAGACAGAAACTTGGATCTACACAAAGAAATAAAACAGCTGCAAAAGGAAAATATGCAACTATTATTTTCTTACTTTTAATTGCTCTAGAAGATAACTAGTTACCCAAAGGAAAATTGTTAGCATTGTATCGTGCATTTATGGCATCTGTAAAGCTAAAATGTATGGCAAGAATAGCATGAGGGATGGGCAAAAGGAATTGTAAAAGGGTTATTGTAATGTCTTAGAATACCCGTGAAGTGATACAATGTTATTTGAAGGCAGATACAGATGAATTAGAGATACACACTCTGTGCCTCTAAATTAAAAGGAGGTCCACAATCGAAGTCAATAGTGGGGATAAAATGGCATCATAAAGTGTACCTCCAAATCCAAATGCGATAAGACGAAGAGAACATCACAAACAAAGAGAGAAAAATTAGAAAACAGCTAGCAAGATGGTAGGCTATAATCCAACCACACCAATAACTGTATTAAATATAAGTGATTGAAACATACCAATTAAAAACAGAAATTTTCAGATTGGGTGAGAAAAAGCAAGACCAGTCATAGACACTCTAAAAGAAACCCACTTTAAATATAAAGATTTAACTTGACTAAAATAAAAGGATGGGAAAAATACAACAAGCAAACACTAATCAAGAAAGCCAGGATAGCTATATCGACATGAGACTAAGCGAACTTTAAGACAACAAATGTTCCCCGGGATAAAAAGGGATATTGGGGAATGATAAAGGGGCCAATTTTCCAAGAAGATGTAACAATCCTAATGATATATGCATCTAACAATAAAGCTTCAAAATACATTTAAAAAGAACCACTAGAATGCAAAGAACTAGATAAACCCAGGTTGCTGGGGGCGGAGGACGGGCGACCACAGGTAGACACAGGTGGCTCGTTGAGGCTGGTGGAACTGCTCTTCGTCTTGGTTACAATGGCTACGCAAATATGTTCACGTGTGGAAACTCACAGAACTGTGTCACTAAAGTGGGGGTTTTCTGAACTAGACTGTATCCTATTAAGTAACAATTGGGAAAACAGACGGGAGGGCACACAGGCTGTTTCCCCCCATGGTGGCTGGGGACGAGGAGGACAGGGGGACACGGTGCCATTTAACACCATTTCTGACATTTCAGTAGTTTTATTCTTAAAAATATAACCCTGCTCATAATTATAAGTTTGGGGCAACGGGTGCCTGCACGTGTTACATTATTCTCTGTACTTTGTTCTTAAAATTTCCTCAAAAATAAAACCCAATGGGCCATCGTGTTCTTGCCAAACCCTGTTTCCCCTTTTCTAGCCATACATTTTATTTTCCTACAAGCAGTGCCCCCAAAATCAGGATGGTTTTTTCTAAGAGAATGTGCCTCTAAATTTTCATAATTTACAAAGAAACAAACAATGGGCTGGAACTGGCTAAGCTTGGCCCAGGCAGAACCCCTAAAATCACAGAGCCGTCAGTCCCTTTTGCAGATGTCATGAGGGGTGCACTGCCAGAGAAAGCCATTCCACGGGACCAAAAAAAAAGGTATTAGCTGGCCATGATGCAGGACCGGGTGAGTGATCCCCACCGTCCATGGAGCAGAGATGAAGGGGGATCAGCCAGCCCACTGCAGCCCCCCAGTCCAGGATCCCGCGCCTCTCGGTTCTCTGATGTGTGGGGCCTTGCTAGCAAAGGCAGCACAGCCCCAGGGGGACGGGGGATGCTGGACAGAGGGGCCGTGGAGGAAAAGCTCAGGTGTGCGGAGCCCTGGTGACAGGAAATGGGGGCAGCCATCAGGCGGGGTGTGGGCTGGAGGCCCCAGCTGGGTTCTGCAGCCTCTGCAGTGTTTCCTGCTTCATGCAAAAATCCGACAGTCAGAAGCTCTGGTCTCACTGGGCCTGGGTCCCACGTGGAATGACCTGAGCGGCCTGGAGGGCCCATGAGCCCACCCCCTGCCTGCAGCCTGCCCATGCCCAGTTCTCTTTCACAGGCCCTGATGGCCCCTCCCTGGCCTCTGGGACCTGTTTCCATCCCTGCCTTGAGAGTGGGAGCCGCTGGCAGTGGGCTCGCGTCCACAGGAGCACTACAGTTAGAATGATGTCAGGAGAAGGCCCCGGCCAGCGGGCAGGTGCGCCCAAGCAGGTGAGCTGGGACGAGATCAGGAGGACATTGACAAGGACGCCCCTGTGCCCGGGATGAGCGGCAGAGGCCGAGGTCTCACAGGGATTTTAGCAGGGACTGTGCCCCCCAAACAGCATCTCCTGTCCTGAGGCATCTGTGCCTCTGCCAAACTGGCTCAGTGTTTTGAAGATCACCTGGGCTTTAAGAGGCTGTCATGATAAATCCCAATGTGGTCTGGAGAGAAACCTGCCCCGTGTCCTAATTTCTTGATGCACAGAGCACGCGACCGTGTGGCCTCCAGAAATGGGGGGACCCGGGTCATGACCTGGGCTGGCCTGTGCGGAGCATGGGCCTGGACACCTGACCCCCACGTGGCTCCGCCCCCTTCCCATCCCCCCACCCCCGCCCCAGGAGCCTCCCACACAGACAATACCTGAAGTCCAGGAAGGCACAGTACAGGAAGATGTGGTTGCTCTCATTGATGGCCTCGCTGTACTGCCTGCTGGTCTGAAATGAGAGAATGACATCCTTGGAGATGCAGCCCAAGGAGCCAGGCTCCCCACACTGAAGTGAGAGCCACTGACTTTCCAGCTCATCCTTGTGGTTGGAGAGAGCCAGCCCCCAGGCCAGGGCTCTGCCGCAGGGCCTTTGCACATGCTGGTCCTCCCTTAAGACAACCTCCCCAGCTTCAGGTCTCCTCAGAGAGACCTGCCTGCCTATGCGAAACCCCGCCCACCCTTACAGGCTCCGCCCTTTTGTTTTCAGATTCAGAGCCTTGTTCCCCACGCAGCCCAGGCAAGCGTATTTACTGAGTCGTTTGTCTGCCATGTTCCCCTCCAGACTGTGCAAACTGCTGGCTCCGCCCCCAGTGCCTGGCACACAGCAGGTGCTTACTAAATATTCCTTGAACGAATGAACGGAAGAATGAACAAGTGACAGGATCCATAACCCACTTCCTAGGACTACTGCTCTCTCCCAAGAGATGGGACGTCTGGTCCTAGATGTTCCTGGATGCCAGCTCAGAGCACATGGCCGCAGCCGCTCTGTGCTAAACAAGACGCAAAGGCGCCTCCTGGAACTGTCCCCAGGAAGCTTGGGGAGCCAGCAGCTCCACAGGAAACCAGGCTGCTCGCAGGACAAATGGCGTCTAATTGATTCCCAGCTTCTAATGTTGATGGCTCAGAACTCGGGCCATTCTCCCATCTGCAAACACTGCCACTCATGCACCGTCACTCTCTCTCGTCTCAGGGCTGCGGTGCCCATCCATCCCGCCGCCCTTTTCTGCAGGACAGGCCATGGCGACGTCTCCGTCCTCGGTGCTATTCTAACTTGTACATGTGAGCTCTGCTGCCTCAATGGTGGGCGAGCCTGCAGCAACACGGACAGGCCCCTGCAAACCCAGATTCTAGAACCTTTTCTGATCATCCCCACGGGCACATATAATCGTATTAATATTGTCCATTGCTGATGGTTTGGCAAAACGGAAACTTTCCGCCTCTTGCTTTCTTCCTCTAGTATCTTATTTTAATACATTGTGGGGTCTCTTAAAACTGCCTGAAACCCCCGCAGCCCCCGAGCAGAACATTGCTCTCCCAGACCGTGGCTGGCTCCTCTAATCCTTCATATCGCCACCTCCTCGGAGAGGCCCTTCCCGGCCACGCGAGGCTGACCCTATCACTCTGTCCTGTGGCGTCTTCTATTTTCCCACAGCACCGAACACTATCGGGAACGTCCTTAGTTATTTATCTGTTCATCGGTTTGTCATCTGTGTCCCCCATTAGAATCAAGCTTCCCAGGCAGGGACCCTCTCTGTGTTAACGCAGCTGTGCTCACAGCCCTGCAATGGCGGCTCGCGTGGGACACTCAGGCACGTGTGTGTGACTTACTGAGGAAATGCAAACTTTCGGGCGGGCAGGTGTGATTTCTGATTCCTAAGAAGGGCCCCTGAGGGGACGTCCATCCAGACAGACTGACCTGGTGCTGGCTGCAGGATGACGCGAGGTCAGGTAAGTGGGCTTCACTGAACCTCAAACCCCATAAAGAAACTCAAGCAACACAACCTCAGGCTCTAGCAACTGCATGGAAAAAACCCTAAAACCTCGAGCCTTCATTATTTTCTCTCCCTGTTTTTCTATCTGTGGGCCAAGATGCCCAACACCATCTGCAGTGCCGCCCGGGGACGCTGAGGCTGGCACCCCTTCCCACATCCACCGAGGAGGCTGGTTTTCCACACCTGGTCCCAGCAGCACCACGCGGGACCTGGAATGGCTGGTCCAAGGGCCACAGAACCAGAAACTGGGGTGGGAGTCAGCCCCTGGTGTCAGCAGCCCTTCAGGTGACAATACGCAGGAATTTGAGGCCCACGGGAAGCTGAGGGACGCTTCCTCCTCTGCCCCCTTGGGATGCCTCAGCCTGCTGTGACTTCCTGCTCAGACACGGACAGCCCTGCAGCCACTTGGTGCCAGAGAAGGTCACCAGCGGGGGGAACTGTGATTCGAGAAACCTACAGAATCAAAAATACAAATAGAGGGCTTTCCGAGTGGCGCGTTGGTTAAGAGCTGGCTTGGGACGCCAGAGGGCCCCGGTTCGGATCCCACATATGAGGGCCAGTGACACTGCCCTCTACAGCTAAGATGCTGAACAACAGTTCAACCTGGAGCTGGGCTGCCGTGAGTCGCTGGCAACGGTGTAGGCTGCAGCCCCTGTGGCAGTGGGTTGCCATGGGCTACCGTGTGTAGCCAGCAGCCAGCGTGAGCGGCCAGCAGCCGCCGTGAGTGGCCGTCCAGAAGCCGGCGACTGATCTGCCTCGCCCGGGAAGAGCGCAATGATGGTGCCAACTTGGGCCAGTGAAGCGATGTCCTCCACAACTAGACTGAAGAACAAAACGACAGCAACTTGTCTGTTCCCCTTCCCCCAATTCCCCAGCGCTGTTCCCATGCCCCCAATTCCCCAATAAAAATCTTTAAAAAAAATACAAATAGAGACCTGGTGGGGACCCCACCTGGCCTCTGTGAGGCTTCCTGTGCCTGGACCCACGCCCTCCAGGATGGCTTCACGTGCGTTTGTGTGTTGCTTCCATCGCGTAAACGGAATCCTAACACAGCTAGGACTAGAGGGAGCACTGAGGGTCCCCGGACCACGCGCCACCCCCATCACCTCCATCTCAGAGGCTGAAGTCCCCACCCCCTGACTCTACACCCCAATCACACTCGTCAAGAGGAATTTAAAGTTCAGCCGGAGCAAGCCCAGTGTGTGTGGTCAGAGGGTGGAGGGCACACAGTTCCACTGGGCCGGGGCCAAGGTCACACCCACAGCCCGGAATCCGCTGACCTGTGTCCTCCAGGCCCCCCCCGGCTCAGCTCCGCGTGGGAAAAGCAAATCGCCTCCGTCTGTGTTTGGAGTTGGCGACTGAGCGGAAGGAAGACTGTGCACCATTCTCTAAGAAAGGAGTCTAGAACGTTCCCAGGAGCGATCTGGACGGGGGTGTTGTTAACACATGGGGTGTGGTGCCGTCAGAGGGAGGGAGGTGAGTCAGCGCGTCACCCCCCACTTTCCCGGAGACACGGGGCGGTGTCAGGGCCCATCAACCTGGGGGACAGATGAACACCCTCCCGTTAGTCACCGGGGGGGGGCCAGGGACCAGGAAATGGGGGTGTCCTCATCAGGGTGATGGGAAGCCAGCTCTCCAGGGGGAGAGCTGGCCCCCGACTGCACCAGACATGTCACTGATGGGTATCTGAGGCTGGGGATGTCCCTGTCTGGTCCAGAGGCCCCGGAACCCGAGTTTCCACCTTCACTGTCAGCGTGGGATTCTGGGACCCTCCCGGGGGATGAAGCTTCCTCCTCAGTAACCCCAGGAGCCCAGGGTAAGGGCCGGAGCCTGCAGACCCCTGACTCAGCCGTCTGTAGTCACATGTCCACCTGGGGCAGGTGAGGGAACATGCACAGAAGAGACGGCTTTCGTGCTTCAAGATAAAAAGCCTGTGAAGTTACCTGGGGGTCTGGGATTAGCACAGCCTGCCTCAAAATTCAACAGTGTTTTCAAATCGTCCCTATACCCAGTAGCCCCTGGCCGGGACATTCTCCGTGGAAAACCTGCTGACACAGGAGAGGCCCAGCCCCGCCCCGTTTCTGCGAGTGGCGTTTCCAGAGCTGTGACTGAGAGATGGGGACCCATGGGAGGTGGAGTGTGGCCCAGAGCTGAGACACAGAGCTTACGAGGTGCAGAGAGGAGGTGGGAGTATTCGAGGACCAGGGAGGCTGTGAGTCGAGGCGTGTTGAGCCACAAGCTTAGGAGCTTTATTTGTTTCTTGCCTGAAATTTTATGAGCTTTATTTACTTCTTGCTTTCTTGTGACTGTGGGGTTGCTACACAGATGTACTTCCGGTTTGGTTCAAGTAGAATCAAGGCAGCTGTCCTGGTCTCGGATGTCTAACCTTTGACTGCACCTCACCTTTCACCCCCTCATGCCCCCACAAGTTGACCACAGAGACAGCAGGTGTCCCCAAAATCCCCCAAGGAGGGGACCCCAGCACCAGGGCCAGCTGTGGCTAAGAGGAGCATCTCAACACAGGACTAGCTGATTTCTGCACAGGACATAGACTCAGTCACTAAGCCAGCTGAGGGGACCGCAGGGGACAGGCTGTCACTCTCATCATCACAGATAAGACGTCTGTCAGGCACGACCCTCCCCTGCTCCCTAGTGCCTTGAATCTCAACTGCCTGTGGACTGCACCACGTGCGAGTCCCGGACAACCCCAGCCTGAGCAGGCCCACCACAGACCTGGGACGCGGGTGGCCCCGCTTCTTGCCGGGGCCCCGGCCGCTCTGCTCACACCCCCATTTGCACCCCCTCCTTCTCGCCCTGAAGCACCTCTGTGGTCTGGCCCAGAGCCCAGCGAGGAGATTCTCGCGGAGCCCAGGGGTGCTGGCTCTGCCTCCTGGCCCTTCCTGGATTATCTTTCTCCCCAGATGTCTCAGGCTCGGGGAACTATTCGCGTTACAAATTGCGTTTCCCTAGACGCCTGCTTTGAATTTTTCAAAGGTTCTCCACAAAGTTCATTTTAATATTATCCGTACTGAGGTATAAGAAGGGGAGAAGAAGCTAAATGTTAAACACAGCTTCAGGCAGTGCTGCGCTGGGTCTTCCCCACGTGACTCCCCGGCCTCTCCCTCTGGCCTTGAATTGCCGGGCAGGACCGGACCCCGTGTGGCTGGGCCTGGAACGAAGGCGGTCCTTATGAAAGCTGGGCGCTGGGTCCCAGCCAGTTATCCTAATTGGGTCTCCTTTCCAACGCCACGGGTGGGAATTTTTTCCTACAGCCAGAAAACCTTCCTGGGTTATAAACTGAAGTATAACCTTAGGTATAAATCTGAAAACAGAGTTGTTAAGGACAGGTGAGCGCTGCCTCTGTGTATATCAGTGTCCTCAGATGGGAGGAGAAAATATGATTTTTCACAGCACCAGCTACAGAGTAGAGCGCTCCGCATACGCGTGGAGGCTGGAG